CGCTGTATTTTCCACACAGCCACAAGAATTCATGTTTAAAACTTGGTGATGTCATGCCTGTCTCTGCTTAAAACCCTCCAGCAGCTACCATACTGAGAAAAAAAAATGCAATTCTGCAGTTTACAATGCTCTGCCTAACTTGCCTCGAGCTCCTGCCATCTCGTTGCTCTTACTTTCCCAATGGTCTACTGTATCCCAGCTTCACCAACTGGTCCTTCAGTGGTCAGACAAGCCATGCTGCTCCCTGCCGAAGGCTGGAGGCTGGCTGCGCCTGGATCTACCCTTGGGTATCTCTGTGTTAGATGCCACTTCTTTGCACAGTTCCCTCTGACTTGCCAAAATAAAGGCCACTGTCTATTACCTTCATTACATTTTTTTTTTTTGGTTTTGTTTTACATAGTGTTCATGATTGACAGTTTTATTCACTTGCTTGTTAGTTAACTTTTTCTCTCTGCCCTCTGCTCTGTCTCCCTCCACTTTCCCCACCATTCCCCACCCCAAAAATGAAGCTCTGTGAAAATAAGAGAACTGAGGACCCTGACTGGCTTGTTTGTCATTGTCTGCAGACAGGTCCTCAATGACTGTCAAAGGAGCGAGTCGATCTCAGCATGCAGAGAAATCCGAACACTTACAATCTGCTGAGCAGTAGCAGGGCTGTTACTATCCCATCCAGTCTAACCTGCTCTGTGCAGGAATTCTTCATTCCTTTATTCAGGAGAAAAGCTGGTCTCACAACCACCTTTGTCATACTGATGCAGAACCTGAATCAGTGGTACCACACAAAACAAGTTCATGTGTTTATTGGAAATTTTAAATCTGGCGATGGAGCTATTCAGAATGAGGATGAGAAGCTTGTGGTCCCTTGAACGCACTATGTTCCTAGCAGTCCTTACTGGGACAATGGAAATGTCATGCAGAGGCCTCAGGCACATGTGGCTAGGGACACATTAGCAGGAAGTTGGAGCTGGGAGTGGAAGTAGGACTTGACTCCAATACCCATCTGAGAACTGACTGGTGTCCGAACCACTAGGCCAAACACCCAACCCTGTATTTTTAATTTTTAAGAAGTATACATGGTTGGGGATTATACTTCCAGAAATATATCTCAAGTTAAATACTCAGGCTGTGTGCAAAAACTGAACCCAGGTGCTTACCACAGCAACACCTGTAACAGAAGAATGGGGCACCCAGGAGCCTAATGTTCAGGTGTTACAAGGCCTGCATAGGACACACAGATGAAGCTTTTGGCTTCGGTTTGGTCTGGTCCCAGCCACTGCGGCCATTTGGGAAGTGAGCCAGTGGATGGTGGATCTCTATTTCACCCTAACTCTGGTTTTCAAATATATAAGGTAAATCTTAAAAAAGGTAAAGTTATAGATGCAATTTATTGACACAGAAGATGCTTATGATATACTAGGAGGATGGTTACATAAAAACGTGTATAGCATAAATACATTTCATAGCAATCAATGACATAAAAATTTTTAAGAAATAGGATTAGTACTTTGTTTTTCACTATTCTTTTAAGATTTATTTATTTGTTGTTGAAAGGCAGAATGACAGAGAAGGAAAAACAGTTTATTTCTATAATAGCTGTAGGTGCCGGCCTGAAGACAGGAGCCAGGAACTTCATTCATGTCTCCCCTAAGTGTGACAGGGACCTACGTACTCGGGCCATCCTCTGCTGCCTTCTGAGGCAGAATCCACTGGAAGAACAGGAGCCACCATGGTGGCTGGCATTGTGCTGTGCCAAGTTAAGATGTTGCTGGCACCCTATACTGGCACTGGTTCTGGTCCCACCTGCTCCACTTTCAATCAATTCAGCTCCCTATTTATGTGCCCGAGGAAACAGTGGAAAGTCCTTGGGCTCATGCACCCACACAGGAGACCCTGATGAAGATCCCAGCCCACCTGGGGAACGAAATTAGTGAATGAGAGATCTCACCCTCACCTCCCCCTTCTCTCTCTCTCTCTCTTTTTTTATTAATTACTAGAAAGACTGATTTACAGAGAGAAGGAGATACAGAGAAAAAGACCTTCCATCTGCTGGTTTATTTCCCAAGAGGTCACAACAGGCAGAGTTGAGCTCATCCGAAGCCAAGAGTCTTTCACAAAAGTACAGGGTCTTATGGCTTTTGGCTCATTCTCCACTGCTTTCCCAGGCCACAAGCAGGGAGTGAACGAAAGTGGAGCAGCTGGCACATGAACTGCCGCCCAGGTGGGATCCCGGCACCTGCAAGGCAAGGACTTAGCCACTGAGCCATCATGCATGGCTGTCTCCGAAACTTTTTAAAATGTTGTAAGTCTTAAAAAAAAAAAAATAAATAAATAAAGAGAGCCTAGCACAGTGGCCTAGTGGCTAAGGTTCTCGCCTTGCACATGCCAGGATCCTACATGGGTGCCAGTTCTAATCCTGGCAGCCCCGCTTTCCCATCTAGCACCCTGCTTGTGTCCTGGAAAAGCAGTTGAGGACGGCCCAAAGCCTTGGGATCGTGCACCTGTGTGGGAGACCTGGGGGAGGTTCCTGGCTCCTGGCTTTGGATTGGCACAGCTCTGGCTGTTGTGGTCACTTGGGGAGTGAATGAGTGGACAGAAGATCTTCCTCTCTATTTGTCCTCCTCTCTGTATATCTGCCTTTCCAATAAAAATAAATAAATCTTAAAAGAAAGAAGAAAAGAAAAGAGGAGAAAAGTGGAGGATTCTGCACACACAAGGCTGGCATGATGATTCAACTGGCTAATCCTCCCCTTGCAGGTGCCAGAATCCCATATGGGTACCAGTTTTTGTCCTCCTTCTTCCACTTTCCATCCAGCTCCCTGGAAGAGGCTCCTGACTCCTGGCTTCAGATCAGATCAGGTCAGCTCCAGCTACTGCAGCCATCTGGAGTTTGGGGTGGTAAACCCACGGACAGAGGATCTTCCTTTTTGTCTTAATTCTCTCTGTAAATCTGCCTTTCCAATAAAAATGAACAAACGTTAAAAAAGAAATAAGGGAAGAAGGGAGGAGCAAAGTAAAAGAAGGAGGAGGAGGAGGAATAATAACGCTGGGACTCTAGCATGGAGTGTTGGCAAGTGTTCGCTTAGTCTCTTGCACCTTAACACTGGCCCCTACTCTTTGCTTTTCTCCCTTCTATCTTTTGATAATTATCTGCTTTCTCTGCATATCCCCACCACCCCACAAGAAAAAAAATTATTTTTCTTTTTAAAACATACTTATTTTACTTTTGAAAGTCAGTTACAGAGGCAGGGGGAGAGACAGAGAGAGAATCTTGCATCTGCTTGTTCGCTCCTCCAGATGGCCACTGTGCTAAGAGCTGGCCAGGCATCTCAGTCTCTCATGTGGTGGTACTTGGCTGTCTTCTGCTGCTATCCCAGGTTCATTAGCAGGGAGCATGGTAGGAAGTGGAGCAGCAGGGACTAGAACCCAGTGCACACATGGAATGTCTGTTGTCAAGAGCGCTGTGCCACAACACTGGCCCTGACCACTTTCTCTTTACAATGAACACATAGGTGGTAAAAATCCGTGTCCATGTTGGAGAAAACAGGACATAGCATGTCCCAGTTTTGCTTTAAATATGTGTCTAGAGCTTGATTTTTTTTTTGCCTGCTGAGAAACAGAACTAATTCCGTCTTTTTTTAATAAACCACCAAACAACGAGCATTCAAGATAACTTAGTGTCCACGGGGACTAGAAGGTGGGATCCAGCTCCTGGCCCCAGTCCACCTGCCTTCCCAGAGGGTCACATCCAAGCCTGACCTGCGTTTCCTAGCAGCAGAGGCAGGAATGCTTTCAGGAAGGAAGTTCATGGCTGTGTTCTCAGTTTCAATTTCCCCCAATTAAATGTTTCCTTTTAATGCTAGGCGTAAGCTCTGCAAATGCGGGCAATGTGTAATGTGTATAACGTAAAAATTATCATTGGAACTTAGACAACTGTTTTGGGCAGATATCAGCTCTTATCCTGTTACAGCGTGCCCGGGAAACCTGTATTCAAGTTTGTGTTGGTAAGGTTTGTACTAACAGATGCTTGTTCTTCTTGAGCAACATGTGGAAGTGAAACATATTTGCAGAAACTCCTAAAAACACAAAATTGTTATAGGAAATGCTTTTAATCTCATGACTGATAAACTGAAAGAGCATGTCTCTACTATCAGTATTTTACCAGTAGAAGATCTGACCTCTTAAAAAATAAAAGGGGTGTCCTATTTAGGCAATTCTACCACCATGGATTCCACTTGGTTCTGTCTGGGCCAGGGAAGAGGTCCAAGTTTCTGCCAACACCAAGAGGCTCCACCACTGTTTTGCCACTAGGCTCTGCTGTCAAGGGCTAGGATGGCATTGACCCCACAGAGAATCTGATTCCCAGTTTTTTTTTAAGGTTTATTTATTTTTACTGGAAAGGCAGATTTACAGAGAGAAGGAAAGACCAGAGAGGAAGATCTTCCATCTACTGGTTCACTCCTTCAAGCGGCTGCAATGGCCGGAGCTGAGCCTATCCAAAGCTAGGAGCTACAAGCCTCCGCCAGGTCTACCACGCAAGTACAGAATTCCAAGTCCCTGGGCCGTCCTCTACTGCCTTCCTAGGCCACAAGCAGGGAGCTGGATGGGAAGTGGAGCAGCTAAGACATGAACTGGTGCCTATATGGGATCCTGGCAAGTACAAGGCAAGGATTTAGCCCCTGAGCCATTGTGCCAGGCCATTTTCACTTGAAGGGTTTTCTGTAGAGTGGTGTCAGTTTTCTTCCCCTGCATCACAAACTCGGTGTATAGCAATTTTTTTTCCACCTGCTTGAAATGACTTTCTTTTTCATCAGAGAAGACCTGATACAACTGTAAACTTTCAAATGATGAGAAAATGAGAGCTGTGTGGGGGGAGGCCATTTGACTTGGCCAGGTCTGAGGGAGATGGCACAGGGGGTGCCATCTGAGGGAGTGGACAGAATTTAAGTGGGTGCAACAAATACAGCTTGGCAGTGTCCGGCTAAGCTTGCCACGTCACTCACCTGATGAGATCAGTGATTGCGGTGCTCAGTGGCCCATGATGGTTATATGCAACCACGATGTTGCAGACGGTCTGAAAAAGCCATCATCTTCTCACCTTAGTCTGTCGATTTCAAAAGCCTGGAAGGTGGTTAAGAGATAAACTGTCATCATAAATTGCTAATGAATGGGTTTCAAAATTGTATCTGATATATAGTAGTAAGGGTTCAAAAACTTTCTAATAAATGAATAAATTGATGCTTTATTGTATTCTGCAGATTGGAAAAGCAGCCTCATGGGACCCAGTCATTACACCTTTCTAAACTTAGCAATTTATTTATTTGAAAGGTAGAGCGGCAGGTTTTCCATCCATTGGATCACTCCTCAAATGCTTCAGATGGAAAGCAGGAGTCAAGAACTCCGTGCAGAGCTCAGGATGGCAGGCACTCAAGCACTCGGGCCATCTTCTTCTCCCTCCTGGTTAGAAGCAGAGTAGCCAGGACTCAAACTGGGCATTCTGATAGGGGATGTGGGCATTGTAATATGCAAGCAATGCTCTAACCTACTGCATCACGTGCCACGTCACTCACTCCAGCTATTTGCCTTTAAATGTTAATGAACAAGAGTCTTATTTTGGGACTGCCATTGTGGTGCAGTGGGTAAAACTGCTGGTTGGGACTCCTGCAACATCATCTCTAAGGAGTCCTGGCTAATACAGACTTCCTGCTAAGACACTGGGAAGGCAGCAGCAGATGGCCCAGGTAGCTGGGCATCTGATATCCATGTGGCCGACTAGGACAGTGCTTAGTTCCTGGGTTTGGCCTGGCTCAGCCCATGTTGTCTACTATGTCCGCTGGAAAGAGAATCACTGGATGCAGTATCTTTTTTTCCCCTCCACCCACCCCAGGTTGCTCTACTATGCAATAAACAAATAAAAAAGATTTATTTATTTTTATTGGAAAGTCAGACATACAGAGAGGAAGATATTCTATCCAATGGTTCACTCCCCAGGTAGCCGCGACAGCTGGAGCTTAGCCAATCCGAAGCCAGGAGCTTCTTCCTGGTCTCCCACCATGTGAGTGCAGGATCTCAAGGCTTTGGACCATCCTTGACTGCTTTCCCAGGCCACAAGCAGGGAGCTGGATGGGAAGCGGGGATGCTAGGATTAGAACCTGCGCCCATATGGGATCCTTGGCGTGCAAGACGAGAACCTTAACCACTAGGCTATCGTGCCGGGCTCAAGAAAATACTTTTGAATTATTGGACTATGTTTTAATTACATGTTCCTGAGGAAGGCTAAACGTTTCTAACAACAGTTTATTTCAGTTGCTAATGGAAAGTGCCAGGCTGCTGCAATTGTAGTGAGAAAAATCAGAGCCTACTAACATTGGAAATCCTTAATCTCCTCTCTAGAGGGATTATATGATCATATCATTGGGAGAGCTTTACTGCACCAGCCATCGGAGAGGGCAGGCCCAAGGGTTTTAAACCTATCACAGAAGTGCTCCAAATAGTAACTGCAGGCGCATGCGCTGTGGTATAGCAAGTTAAGCCACTGCTGAGGATCCTGCATCCCACAACAGAGTTCTGGCTGTTCTGCCCCCGCTTTCAGCTTTCTAGCGACCAGTCTGGGAGGCAGCAGGTGGTGGCTTACTTAGTCCTTGGATCCCTGCCATCCACATGGGAGACCCACACATTGGGGTAATGAACCAGCAGATGGAAGATCTTTGTCTCTATTGCTCAGCCTTTCAAATGGATGAAAATAAACAAACATTAGGAAGCAGTAATAATTGAGACAATCCCCTCACCCCTACTTTGGTGTCAGCAGTATGATCTAGTGCTTCTTAACAAAAAAAAGATCATTGTGGAAATAGCAGCACTGAACTAAAAGAGAAAGAATTTTTTTTTTTAAAATTCCCTGTGAATAATGAGAACTTTGAAGTCCCCTAAGGTATTCTTTTTGATTTCAGATACACCTGCTCACCCCTGCCTACAAGGGGGATGCCCTTGATTCTAGTCTACGTTGAACTACGCCAGCTGTTCGCTGGCTGAAGAAGGTAGTGAGGGTGGCCTGTCAGAGAATTTGTCCTGGATATCAAATAGCTGTCATTCATTGGGATTAGTGACATGTCAACTCGAAAGTAAAAAAAATCTTAGAATAATATGTATAACAAGCATGTAATGTGGGTACCAATCGGGATCAGGATAGCACATTTTCATTTAGTCTGCTGCTGCTGATCAGCACAGAGATGGCTTACCTGCACCTTGCCTTTTTGTTTGCAATCAGTTTTACTCATTCAACGGCTTTAAGGGATTGGCAAGGAAGGTCTAAGAAACATCTGTGAAACTCTAAGTGTGACAGTCATTTCTTCTAACAGAAGTATAAGGGGGTCTTCAACTTATGATAGGAAACAGATATTATGAAAAAAGTATACATGGATATCAATTTTTGTTTCTAGCAAAATAAAGTTTATTGGGGCCAGCCACTACTTGCCATGTGGATGTGGGCACCCATCTAGGAGTGCTGGTTTGAGACCTGGCTGCTGGGCTAGTGATTTAGCTTCCTGTTCACGTAACTGGAAGAACAGTGCAAGATGGCTCTGTGCCACCTGTGAGGGAGCCCAGGATGGAGATGTTAGCTTCTGGTTCTGGCCAGGATAAGTCCTGGCTCTTTAGGACATCTGCTGAGTGAACCAGTGATTCTAAGGTCTGTCTTCCCCTCTCGTTCTATCGTTTTCTTTGAAATAAATAAATGCTTTAAAAAAGAAAATCCATCGGGACCAGCGGCGTGGCCTAGCAGCTAAAGTCCTTGCCTTGAATACACCGGGATCCAATATGGCCGTTGCAGCTCACTTGGGGAGCGAATCATCAGACGGAAGATCTTCCTCTGTCTCTCCTCCTCTCTATATATCTGACTTTGTAATAAAAATAAGTCTTTAAAAGGCAGAGCGATGAGGGAAGGAGGGAGAGAGAAGTTTCTCATTTATTAGTTTATTCTCCAGATGCCTTCAAATGGCCAGAGTTGGGCCAGGTTCAAGTCAGGAGCCTAGGACTCTATGGGGGTCTCCACATGGACACTTTAGCCACCATCTGCTCCTCTTAGGAGGGGACTGGGTACTGCAAGCAGCAGCTTAACCCATGGCACAACATCTACCACTCACCTTCTAATCCCATTATTCTGTGCACTTTTTGAAGTACCATGTACAAGCAACACGATTGATAACATCAGAGTGAATTAGCCTCTTGCCTATAGCAAAAGGAAACTGATTCCTACAGTGAGATGTAGAAAATCCTTTGTTGAAAGGTATATAGCCACTCCAAGCTATGCTTCTTCAGACTGGTCAGTACACTGGGGAGAAAAAGTTACTTAGCAGACCAGATGATATTTCCATGTCCATTTCTTAAAGAAAGGTATTTATGTATTGCTCTAGTATCCCCACTCCTACTTCTAGTTCTGATTTTAGTCGCACATAAATTCATATTAGTTTTTCAACTGCAACTCTAATCTGCAAAAACTTTTAACGTTTTCCAATGTTCACGAAATTAAGGACAAACTACAGCCTGGTAGTCAGTGATTTCCAAAAATAGCCCAAGCCTACTTTTCCTGATTTTTTATTTTTTTAAATTTTTTTGGTACTTCTCCCACGGATGAGGGTCCAAGCAAAAGCGAACCGCAAAATGTGTCTGCTGCGGGCAGGCCCACTGGCTGAGATGCCTCGTGGGACGTGTGAATGCCCGGGTTCAGGAGCGCGCTGCACTCTCCTGATTGTGCCCACTTGTGACACACATCCTGGGAAGCAGCGGGTTTCCCTCAAGTACTTGGAACCCTGCCATGCCATGTGGGAAAGCCGGATTCAGTTCCAGTCTCCAAGTGGCGGCTTGTCTTGCCTCAGCTGTGGCCGGCAGTTAGGGGAGTAAACTAGTGGACCAGAACTTTCTGTTGTCTCTGAAATAAATTTAAAGAATTGATTTTGGTACCGATTTTTTTTGAAATCTATGCATTTTTCATAATTTGCATTTTCCATGAATTTTCTGCATACCCCTCATGCGTGGAATTCAACATCTGTACCGACCAAAGTTACTTCATTTTCCATGGACTTAATGACCCACTTTTCCTCTTGCATACACAACTATAGATCACTTGCCCTGCTGCCATTGCTCTTAAGCAACAGCAGGTTAGCTCTGGTTGCTGCATTACAGGTAAAGAACATAAAAACAAAACAAAACAAACAAAACAAACAAAAGCCCTAAAGAAAAAAGCCGAGGCATAAGGGAACACTGCTCCATCATCTTTCTGAAACAGATTTGGTCTGCACATTCTTGTCTAAAACTATTATCTGGTGGTATTTTAAAATTTTTCTTGGAAAGTCAGATATACAGAGGGAAGAGACAAAGAAGATCTTCCATCCATTGTTTCACTCCCCAGGTGGCTGCAATGGTTGGAGCTGTGCTGATCTGAAGCCAGGATCCAGGAGTCTCTTCCGGGTCTCCCATGAGGGTACAGGGTCCCAAGGCTTTCGGCTGTCCTTGACTGCTTTCCCAGGCCACAAGCAGGGAGCTGGATGGGAAGTAGGGTCATTGGGATACGAACTGGAGCTCATATGCGATCCTGGTGTGTTCAAGGTGAGGACTTTGGCTGCTAGGTTACTGTGCCGGGCTCATCATGTGGTAGTTTTAAATACAGCATCCATAAATTAGAATGTGGCTATTTCAGGATTCATGAGCTTGACCTGGGGAAAAAGCTGCATCTTTATTTTTCTGATTCAAAGTTAGTCTTCTTTTTAATTACTATAGGCTGAATACTATAGAAATATTAGCAATCCCTTCATCTTTGTCACCAATAGAAATCTGATATTTTCTTAAAAATGTTTTTTTTAAAGAATTTTCTTGTTTGATTTGAAAAGCACTGTTAGAGAGAAGATGGGAGACAGAGAGAATCTTTCATGTGCTGGTTCACTCCCCAAATGGCTGCAGTGGCCAGCACTGGGCTAGGCTGAAGCCCGAGCCAGCAGCATCTTCCAGGTCTCCCACGTGGGCCATCTTGTGACGCTTTCTGAGGCCACGGCAGGGGCTGGATGGGAAATGGAGCAGCCAGGTCTCTACAGCACCTGCATCGGATGCTAAACTTGTGATGCCACAATGCACGCATGACTCTTGATGGTTTCATATTAAAGTATTTGTCAGTATCTCAAGTATAATTTATACTCCTTATTACTTTAAATTATGTACTTAGACATGCTGCTAGATGTTACTTAATAAAGAAGCCCTTGTATGACTGTATGACCCACTTATTTTAGTATTTAAATGACTTTGAAAAACACTGGTTCCCTCTTTCACGTCTATGCATTTTATACATTAAAAACACTTTTTCCTCTGAGATTAGGTACCTGGGTGAGACTCCCAAGAGGGCTATGGTGAGAAAAGGGTTTGGAATCTTTGTTATTTACACTCAGTAACTGCTGATGGGGAATAATCTCAACTCTTCAGCATGGACCTGAGGCTCCTCCCCATTCGCTCACACCCATTTTATCAGTTTCCATCTCTGCCACACCCCTGCGCTCTCCGGCTGGCTGTGTTTGCCAGGGCCAAACCAGACAACAGGAACTGCTCGTTCTCTGGAAGCAGAGAGGCAGGTGTGTGGAGTAACCCTGGTTAATAAGCCAGCAGCTGAGAGCCACTTTGGGTTTCACCTTAGGGAGCTCCTTTCGAGAGCAGTGCCCCCCCAGTACTGTCCGGTCCTTAGGCGACAGTATGTGACCCCGTGTAACCAAGCCAGACTGTGCAACGGGAGGCACTGTGTGGAGTCATTCCCAGGGTTTTGGGGTTCAGTTTGGGGTCTCACAAGTGGGGAGGGTCTCCTAGCTGTATGGCTGAAGAGCAGCCAGGGAGGGGAGGGAGGAAGCCAGCAGTCCTGGAGGGGCATCAGGGCAAGCCGAAAGGCGACAGTGGTTACCTTGGCAGTCACTGCAAACTTTCAGCTTCTCATTCCAGCCCCAATGATACCCACTCCACCCAGCAGGTGCCCCCACCTCCTGCCCCGCCCATTACTGTCATCCAGGAAACTTGGAAGAAATCCCGACGTCTGGCCTAACACAAGAGTCTGTTGAACTAGTTCAGGACAGGAAAGCAACATTGCTCTTATTATTTTTTTTAAAGTCCCACGTGACTGCAACGTGCAGAGGAGGTTGGGTTGCACGAGCCCTCCAGATCCGACCCATGAGCTTCCCTCAGCCTGGGAGCATCAGCTTCTCTGTTCTGGGAAAACATTTAATGCCCTCAGAGTCGCTCCCGTCGGGGAGCGGGGGGATATTCTGGGGGTCAATCCTCTCATCCTGTGTGCTCGGTGCACAGGAGCGGGAGGTGAGGGGTGCACCTGCTCCGGTGTGTACGCGACCCGTTCACTTCTCCTTGACACCTGCGGGGTTGTGGGGGGCCCAGCACTGGACTCCGAGAGGGGTCCCCCGACACGTCCTCCCCCGTCGCCCGTCCTCACTCACTCGGGGAAAACTCTTTTTAAGAAATGAATGGAGACGGAGGTCCGGTGCGGAGACTCCGGGGGTAGGGGGTGGGCAGGGAAGGCGGCGCTCGATGGGGACGGGGGACGGACACGCCAGAGCCTGCGCGGGCGGCCGGGCGACCCCATTCGAGCGGCGAACCGACACAGACCCGAGTGGGGAGGCGGCTTCTTACCTGCCTCGGGTCTCACCGCCCCCAACAGCCTTCATTCAGGCACCTCAGGGTTGGCCGCAAAGCGAGCGCTCTGAGTCGTTTTCCGGCGCAGCCTTTTGCGACACACACACACACACACACACTCACACACTCAGTGCAACCTAAGGCGGGGTTCCCAGCGCTGCCGTAAGGCGCGGCGGCGGCGTGTGGGCGGGGCCGGCGCGGCGGCGGCGTCACGTGCGGGGGCGGGGCCGGGCGGGGCGGCCCGGCGGGCGGCCGGGGGCGTGGGCGGCTAGTGCGTGTGCGCGCGCGCGCGCCGGCGGGGCCGCGGCCGGGGAGTCGGCGGGGCCGGGACCGCGCGGGTGGGACGGGCGCCGCGGCGCTGGAGGCGGCGCTCGAGGAGGCGCTGGAGGCGCCGCGGCCGTTGCCGCTGCCTGGAGCGTGGAAGCAGGCGCGGGGCTGAGGCGGGGGGTCCGGTCGCGGCGGCGTCCACGCGCGTGGTCGGGGAGCCGCGGGGGGTGGATGTGCCTGCCCAGCCGGGCGGGGTCTGTCTGCTGACAGAGATGCGCGGCGGCCGCTCGCCAGGACCCTGAGGCGGCTGGGCCCACCCTCCTGCGACCGTCCGGCCCTCGGGGGCCGCCTTCCCCACCCTCCCCGGGGCCGCGGCGCGGGCGGAGGAAGGGGGCTGAGGTGGCCGCGGCGGCCGAGCCAAGGTAAGACCCGCCCCAGCGCCCGCGGCCCTGCCGGCCGCCCCGCCGGGCCCTCTCTCCGGCCGAGGGCCCCCCGCTCCCCTTCCCCGCCGAGCCGCCGCAGCCTCGCGCTCCCGGCTCTCCGAGGATCCTCCCGCGCGCCTTGCAGTGGCCGGACGCTGACGGGTCCCCGCCCCGCAGCCCTGGGAGAGCCCACTCGGGCTGGTTTATTTATTTTTAATTAAAAAAAATTTTTTTTGGGGGGGTGGGTGTGGGGGGCGAGGGAGGACGTTTCCCGGAGCGCCCCCTTAGCTAGGCGCGCTGGGCAGAGCCCGGCTGCTCGCGGGGAGCCCCCCGGCTCCTCTGGCCCGCGGGCTTGCAGCCAGCCCCGGGGCGCGGCTCGCGCCTTCGGCGTGGTGGAGCCGGCCTCCTTCGGAAGGGACTGGCCGCGGGAAGCCCAAGTCAGTCCCGCTGGGCCGGGGGGCAGGCGGCCCGAAAGGCGGGGAGCGAGGAGGGCGGCGCCGGGCGGCGCGGGTCCAAGGGCTCCCCTTTGCTTGTCCCTGGCGCTGCCCGCGTCTGACCTCTTATCCCAGGGGCTTCCATCTGCATGAAGCCCGCGTCGCACCAGTCGATGTTTGCAAGGTTTGCGCTTTGCATTTCAGTGATGGGCCCCCTCCCCCCCTTTTTTTTTTGCGGGTGGGGAGGAGGATTTGTTGTTAACAAAATTTGGTCGAGAAATTCAGAGGTTTGTATCTTGCAAGGAGAGTAAGTAACAGATCTTAAGGAATAGCCCTCTGCTACTCGGTGCTTCTCCGGAGAGCAGGTAGTGATGTCGGGGCAGCCTCCTCTGTAGCGGTGACAGGCTCGAAGACATAAATGTATGTTGAAGTTGTGTTCCTGAGGTGTCATGAGGAGACGTGATGTCACGTCAAGTGATCAGTGCGGTTTAAGGTTGGCATGGGATGAAGTAGAAGGACTTCTTTGTAGTAGTACTTTTTCAGTGTGTGTGTGTGTGTGTGTGTGTGTGTGTGTGTGTGTGCGCGTGTGTGTAGCAGAGGCGGGGCGGGGGCGACATCCTAATTGCAATTATTGGAGGTCTGAACGCAGCCTGAAAGTCGAAGGTTCGCTTCCCCAAGCCACCCATTCTCTCTCCTTAGTTCGGGTCCCACTGTTCCCGGCTTCTCTTGCATTGGTCCTGGCGTGTTTCGAGCACTCAGCTCTTCTGTATGTTTATGTTGTAAAGATGCAAGGCACATTCGCATGTCTAGCATGCTGTCTGCTTTCCATCAAGCTTGCTTTTTGAACTTCATAATGATTAGGTCCTAGAGGTCAATCTTCAGAAACTTTTTGGAAAACGCATATTAGGAAAGCACCATAGCTGGTTTAACTTTTTTTATTTTTTATTTTGCCAAGGTGAATCTCTTTTGCAAGTTTAGTTCCATCTGTTTGAAAGGCAGAGTGACTGACAAATCTTCCATCTACTGGTTTATTCCTGAATCCCTTCAGTAACCAGGGCCGGGCTGAACAGGAGCCTGGATTTTCTGCAGGGAGGCAGGACCCAAGCACTGGGTCTGTCCTTTGCTGCCAGTGATGGGTCAGCGGGAAGCCGGGCCAGAAGCTGAGTAGCTGGGACCAAACTGGCTGTCTGGTCAGGGATTTGGGTGTCCCAAGCAACAGTTTAACCTGTTGCTCCATCTTTTCATCCCTCCACTGTGGACCTCACTGTGGACGTAAGATTTGTGTCTCAGTCTTGCCTTTTCTTTATTTTTCTCTCCCTCCTTCCCTCCCTTCCTTCCATCCTTTCTCTCTCTTTCCCTTCCCCTCCCTGCTTCCCTCCCTCCCTTGCTTCTTCTCTTCCTTTTTTTTTTTTTTTAAATTGGAAAGTCAGATTTACAAGAGAGGAGGAGAAGCAGAGAAAGATCCTCCATCCGCTGGTTCACTCCCCAAGTGGCTGCAACTGCTGGAGCTGAAGTTGAACTGATCCGAAGCCAGTTGCTTCTTCCAGGTCTCTCATGCAGGTGCAGAGTCCCAAGGTTTTGGGCTGTCCTCTACTGCTTTCCCAGACCACAATAAGGGAGCTGAATGGGGAGTGGAGTAGCCAGGATGCGAACCAGCACCCATATGGGAGCCCGGTGCACATTAGGCAAGGACTTTAGCCACTAGGCTATTGCACTTGGCCCTTGCACATTCTTTAAGAAGTTTCGCATAATTGCTTTTTTGTTATGTTTACCTTCTTTTAGCCCCAAACGTCTGCTCTCTAATGCTTTCTAAGTGGTGGTCTTCTGTTTTTCTCCGTATTGTTTTGTTGCACACTGGCGTTACTGCCTGCATTGCTGCCCAGTATGTGTTCTAGGAAGCTGCTGAAGTGGAGCACTTGTTGAAAGGAGACGTGCACAAGGGAACCCAGGACTTCGACAATAAAAGGAACATAATACAGCTAGCGGCAGCAGAAGATAAGACTTATCTTAGTGCCATGTTGTCTTAGATACCATTTCTTTTGGGCTTTTTCTCCAACTCCTCCCATCTTACAGCTTTAGTTCCTAGTTTCTACTTGGGATGGCTGTGTCACTCGTATGCCAGCATCTTGCCTGCCCCTGGCTGCTGTCTTTTTTTGTTGCTAGCTTTCTTCATCCTAGGAATGTCAGGTGTTAAGTCTTAGGAGGCAATTTCGTTTGGCTTGCTCCTCCTTCTCTCTGGCTGGTAGCAAGCTTGTGTACTCAAGTATCTAAGCACTCCTGACCACTTAGTTGTCGGAGTGTTTATGGCACATACGGACAGAGGGCAGGGTTGTAATGGTGACAGATACGGGGTGGTATGCAAGCTGTCCTTCCAGAGTGGAGTTGTGAGCACGAAGATTTACCCTGCCTAGTCAGTGGGACACCAGGTGGGCCCCACGTGAGCACGTTCTCACTGCTTGAGCACGGCTGAAGGTGAACCAGCTGTGGCTCTGCCTTTTCCTTCCCTTCTGTCTTCTGTAAGTTCTTTGAGTTTTTAGTTAACCGTAGTTGCACCTAGTGTTGGTCACAGTTGCAGTGGTATCAGCGTCTCTCCTTTTTGATGTTTTCTGATTAGAAGCTTGGAGCTCCTTTCATGTAGAGTGACCTGCAGGTGCTCCTCCCTGCCTGTGTGGTAGTAGGAACCCTTTCTTTCCTATCCCTCTGATTACAGCATTCCCTGCTCCTCTAGTCATAGTCATCCCTGGCCTGTGTTCAGAGTGTTTTTCTTTTCTGTCCCTTTTTTCCCCCACACGTAATGGAGAGTATGCGTTATTTGTCTTTCTGTGTCTGGCCTATTTCACCTTTTAACTTCACATGATAACCCATTTTATTACCAATGAGAGCATTTCATTAGCTTTTAAAAATTCTATTTATGTATTGCATTTTCTTGATTGATTAATCTGTTGAAGGACACATTGGTTGAGCCTGAATCTGGGCTGTTGTGAATGGTTATGAACCTAAACACAGTAGTTCACATACCTTTGGTACCATGATTTGACTTTTTTTTTTTTAAATATATGCTTAGTAAGAGTGCTAGGTCCTATTACAGTTGGATTTCTAGTTTTTTTTTTTTTAATTTTAAATTTATTTTGTAAAGATTTACTTGTTTGTATCAGAAGCAGATTTACAGAGAGAAGGAGAGAGAGAGTGAGAAAGATCTTCCATCTGCTGGTTTCCTCGCCAAATGGCCATAGCAGCTGGAGTTGAGCTGATCCGAAGCCAGGAGCCAGGAGCTTTTTCAGGTTTCCCATGTGGGTGCAGGGTTCCAAGGCACTGGGCCGTTCTCCACTGCTTTCCCAGGCCATTAAGCAGGGAACTGGATGACAGGTAGGGCAGCTGGGGCATGAACTGACACCCAAATGGGATGCTGGTGGTGCGGGATGGAGGATTAGCCCAGCGCCATGCTGGTCCCTATTTCTAGTTTGTAAGAGTTTCAATACTGTTTTCCATAGTAACTGTACTAATTTATGGTGCTTTTTCTTTAAATTGTTTTTTTTCCATTCTTAGTGGATTTAAGCGTCCTCTGATGGCAGGTGTTCTTGCTGTAGCCTGTGGTTCTTTATAGCTCTGTAGTGTAATTGCTTAATTACTTGTCTGTTTTCTATTGTAGTCTTTGACTTCTTTGGTGGAAGAGATGAATATCAGTTGTTAGTAATAAAGACTTTTAGATTGGTTTCTGAAGTTACACACTCTGTGTATGACCTATGATGGGATTGTGTCCTGATAACACAATTGGAAATTCTGTAAGTTGAAAATGCATTTAATGTATCTGACCTACCGAACAGCATTGCTTAGCGCAGTGAACTCGGAGCAATGCTGATTCTTTCCCTTTGTGAGTGTGTGGCTGATCGAAGGCTGTAGCTGCTGCCACTGCTTAGCATCAGAAGGAGACTAAAGCTAACAGAACTGTCCAAAAGGGGTTAAGGTTCAAAGTGCAAGTACAATGTCTGCCGAGCGAATATTGCTTTCCCCAAAGTGAATTGTCATTAAGTTTGGCGGGTATATTTTTATACTGTTTATGAAAGTACATAGATCTGTTGAATTTTTCACCAAATAAATACAGAAATGTAAGAACATCTGTATTAGAATACAAAATATTACTGTTACTCTACAAGCTGCGTTGTATTCTATTTTAGTGAATTTGACTTACGTACAGAGAGGGAGAGAGAGAGAGAGAGAGATCTTCCATTTGTAGATTTACTCTCCAAATGGCCACAACAGCTGGGGCTGGGCTAGGCTGAATTCAGGAGCCAGGTGCTGCGTTCTGGTCTCCCATGTGAGTGGCAGGGGGTCCAAGCTCTTGGACCATCTTCCTCTGTCTTCTCAGGTACATCAGCAGGTAGCTGGACTGGAAGTAGAGCAACTGGAGCTCGAACTAGCACACCAGTGCAGGATGCTGGGAGGCTTAACCTGTGCCACAATGCCAACTGCAGATTTAATTTTAGTTTAACTGTTCAGTGTTCAGGTTTCTTGACATAGCTTCTGTGTATCTTTAGACATGTAATAAGGCTCATTGATAATGGAATTTTTATTTTATATAAAGAATTATGTAATTTATATTGCGTTACAGAAACAGTTTTGGGGGCCGATGATGTGGAGTAGCGAGTAAATCCGTTGCCTGTGATGCTGACTTCCCATATGGACATCTGTTTGAGTCTCAGCTGCTCCACTTCTGTTCTGGCTCCCAGAACTAATGTGCCTGGGAGAGCGGTGGAAGACGGCCCGAGTGCTTGCATCTTTGCACCCGTGTGGGAGTCCTGGAAGAAGCTCAGGGTTCATGGCTTCAGCCTGGCCCAGCCCTGGCCCAACCCTGGCATTTGCAGTTACTGGGGCAGTGAATCAGTAAATGGAAGATCTCTTTGTGTCTTTCTTTCTCTATGTAACTCTGAACTTCAGATAAAGAAAAGAAACAGTTTTGACATTTTTAATGCAATGGTTAAGTTAAAAAACACGTAATGCTCATCTGATATTTATTGTGGGGTGTTTATATTTGGGGAAGTTTTTTTATTTATAAGTTGAATATGACAGATTGAAGTGCTTTGGCTGACAGTGGTCTGTTTGGAGTGGTGAACACACTTGGGCTGGTAAGGGGGCTTGAGGCAAATGCTGCTGGCTTGTGAGTTTGAGTGTGAATTATGTTACTAGCATTTTTTGGCGGTGGGGTCATCCAGCGGGCAGCTGGAGTGTAATTTTACATGTAGAGTGAGGAAAGGACTAGCTGTCCTTTCAAAGACAGCTGGCTTGCTGAAAATTGCTTCTTTTTATACGACTGGTGTTAGACTGTAACTCTCCTTTGATTTTCCTTAAGCGTTTACAGTTTTGTACTTCTTTGAATAAGAAAAGTTTTTAAAAGTATACCTTTTCCTTAGAAAGATCCTATTAACCTTAAATCCATGAAGGGGGAAGAATACGGACTTGCAAACATGAAGTTCGGCAGACTTGTGTTGGAGTTCTAGCCTCATGATCTGGGAGCTGTCACTCAGGGGCAAGTCACTTCCCATTTCTGAGCTCCAGAATGTTCATCTCGCAAAAGGTTATCACAGAGTTAAGGTGCTAAGCGCATGCAGTCCAACAAGCCTGCCTTCTTGTTATGTTTGAACATAAGACTGAGAATTTCATTGTGTGACTGTCAGAGTAAGTGACTAAGCAAAGTTTGTTGCTTGTAGAAGTAGATATTAAGATAATGTTTCCGTGTTTCAGGTATGATTGTACTTTTCAATTCCGTATACTTCAAAGAAAGGCTTCTCTTGATGTCTTAGTGGGTAAGATGATTGGGTATTAGAAAGTGTTCTGATTCATCCTGGAATATCACAGCAGAATGTGTCGTGTTTGCCCATGACAAACATTCCTGAAATCATTGACAGATTGTGCTACTACTGCAGTTCATAGTGTAAGTATTTGTTTGAAATTGTTTGTTTTATCGATCAGATGATAGGCTGAGCAATCACTGGACGTTTTTTATGTAAGGGCTTGAGGTAACTGAGTAGATGTGTTTATAAAGGATTTCTAGATCATGGTTTTTTGTTTGTTTTGCAGCTATCTCGTTTTCTCGTTCCTTTGCCAACTTTTTTTTTTGGTAACACTCAAAATATGCTAAAAAGTTGAAATGACAAAAAAGAACATCAGTACATCTGCCATCTAGATTAAAAGTTTAATGTTGTTCCATCCATACTTGCTTTCTTGTTGTCTATATTTATGTCTGTAGTTTTGCTGAACTTTTTGGAAGTTCATGTAATGACAAGTTTCCCTCAAAATACTTTGTATGTTTTCAAAGCAACAGGTATTTATTTATTATTAAGACGCAGGCATACACACACACACATACACGCATGCACAAAAGAGAGACTAGTTCCTTCCCTCACTGCCCATGACTGGGGCTGTCCAGGCGAGAGCTAGGAGCCAGGAACTCAGACTCAGGTGTTTGAGCTGTCATCTGCTGGCCTGTTAGGTCCTGCAGTAGCAGGAACCTGAAAGTAGAAGTGGATATGGGAGATGAATCTAGGCACTTGATATGGGGTATGGGCTTCTGTTTTTTTTCTTTATTTTTAATTGCAAAGGCAGACTCATAGAAAGAGGTGGAGGGAAGAGGAGAGAGATCTTCACTTGTTCACTCCTCAAATGGCTGCATCTGTTGGGGCTTCAGCCAGGCTGAAACCAGGAGCCAGAAGCTTCATTGGGGTTGGCCACATGGGAATAGGGTCTAAAGATTTGGCTGTCAGAAGTGGGGAAACTGGCACGCACACTGGTGCCCGTGTGGTATGCCAACACTGCAAGTGGTCGCTTAACCCATTAATGCTACAATGCTGGCCTGGATACGGGCATCTTAAGTGGCTTCTTGACTGATAGGCCAAATATCAGAGAAAGGCATTCTTCACAATGCTTGCGTGCCATTGGCAGTGCCTGAGAAATAACAGTAGCCAAGCTTTACAGCAGGTTCCTGGGTTTGTGGATGCACTAAGGTAGATTTCATCAGCCAACAGACTTTGGAAAGATTTTCCCCAATCTTGATCCAGTGATATCTCAGAACTATCAAAACGCTCAGAACACTCTTCCCCACGTTGGGGTGTCTGAGGCTTCTTCAAATGATCAGCACGCCTCATCTCCGGGTGGGGATACAGTTTGATAGCAAGGAGTGGCCCCTCCCCGTTCCTCCTTGCAGATACAGGAGAGAGAGAGAGAAAAAAGGAAAAGACATTTGTCCTGCCCACCTTCCTCCATACCTGATCCTTCCTACCTTAATTGGAGATCCATAGGGGCTTGCATCCCTTTCAGCTGTGTAAGCAATGTTAAAAATAAAATAAAATAGTGGTAATTCCTTAACATTTAATACCCAGTCTGTGTTTGAATTTTCTCAGTTTTTAACTTTTTCCCTTTGCTTTTCATTTTCTTTTTGGTTTGTTTTAATCTGTAGTATTTTCTTTCCACATTTCCCCTCCTATGATACTGATGCTTCTTTGCAGAAACCAGATCATTTATCTTAGGAACTGGCCTGCTTTTGAAGTGAGTATTTAGCCTGGTCCCCCTTGGGAATGCCTGAGTTCGATTCCCATTTCTGGCTCTTGGCTTGAGCTTCCTGCTGATGCCTGTCTGGGCGGCAGTGATGATGATGGCTGAGTCATCTGGTTCCTGCCACCCCTGTGAGAGCCCTGGCTTGTATTCCTGACTCCTTGCCTTGTATTGGTCACTGGGGACACTTCAGAGGTAAACCAGAGGGGGAAGCTGTGTGTGTGTGTTGATGGAGTGATTATACCGTTTTCTAAAGTAATTGATTATTTCTTTGCACTATTATTTACCCTCTTTTCTGTGAATATAATGTGTAAATTGGAAGGCATTTCTTTTCTTTATTGTTTAAATTAAAAAAAAAATTGTGTTTACATAGTTGATCACAGTGGGAAGGGTTGAGAATTAGGGGAAGGTGGATGAGACCATTGTTGAGGAGAAGCTGCACCCATCCTCTCTACCAGGGATGGTGAACAGCCGCCCGATGTCATCCCAGGGTCCCCGGTCTGGAACATGCTCCCAAGAGTTCTGTTTAAGTGGTTTGCTTAATTCTGAAATATTGTCAGTCTCGTCAGTCCAAGGATGAGGAAATCCTTTCAAGGTCCATGTGCTGACGGAGTCCACCTTAAAATCTCTATTCGCTCAGATATTTGCTGTCGACACTTGGCTGGGGTAACTGAGCAATTTGCTCTGCTCTCCTTCTGCTGTGATACCAGATGTCCTCTGCAGACCCCAATGGACTGCCATATCTTCCATGAGCATCTGGGCCGTCCATTGCTCCTTCTTATCCACTGAGGAGGCCCAGTTCTGACACATGCACTCCATCATCAGAATGCACACATTCTCGCCATGGTTGGAGTTCTGAGTCCAGCAGTTCAGTTAGGGGGATCCTCATCTGATATGATCCCAGACCGGACTCACATGTGCTTGTCAGTACGGGGTCCTGCTCAGTCTGTCACTCATGTCAACCTAATGCACACACTAGTAGTTACAATTGCTGGGACAGTTTGTTTCTAGTGCCATCTCGTATGCAAACCAATGGATGCTGCTGCCCAGTCCAACTCAACCCGCTACACACTTAGCCCTCATGCACACCAGTGGGAGCACCTCCTAATAACCACCACTAGATGTACCCTCAGCCCTGGTTCCTGTGCTTGCCAGTATGTGCAGCAGACTGATCTAGTCTGTCCCACATCCTATCAATTCTTATACACATCAATGAGCATTGGAACCTAGTTCAACCCAACTAACCACACTATCCAACCCATGCTCATGCTGGTAGATGACACCACCTGTTTAGCCAGGCTCACTCTCTGTGCTGCCCCCCCCGCCTTTCCCCTGGGTCTCATGTGTATTAGTGGGTGCTGTGGCCCAGTCTGGCATGGCCTGCCTCATCTTGGCATTTGCTGGCAGATTCTGCAGCCTGATCCAGACAATTTACCACCAGATCCAACTCATGCCGGTGGGTGATGCAGCCTAGCCCAGTCCAACCAACCCTCAGTCCCAGCCCTAATGTGAACTGGTTGGCCAGTCCTGCATCCTGTCTTGGTTTTCAGCTCTGCCAGTGGGTGTTATGAACTTGCCCAGCCTGGGCCACCCCCATACCTGACCCATACCAATGGGTACTGTAACCTAACCTGTTCTGGGCTTCGCTCAGCCATGGTTCTTGTACTTAACCTGCAGAAACTGCATCCTGACAGTGGAGCTCCCCAAGCTCCTCTATCAGTTTTCCTCCCAGGGGCAGATCTCATGCATACTGTGAGTCCTTGGCCCAAACTGACTTAGTCTACCTTGTGTCCTGGCAAGAACCATGTCCTTGCCCGACCGGCCCCATCCACTCTGGTTCTTTCTGTTGAGTGCTACAGCCCAGTCACACCTGGTTTTCACCCAGATACAGCTCTCATGTGGTTCAGTGGGTGCTGAGACCTAGCTGAGCGCATCCTACACCCACTCTGGGTTTCATGAGCAGCAGTGGGTGATGGAGTCTAGCTCGGTTTGGTGCATCCCAGACCCAGTCCATACTCATGCTGAGGAACACTGCAGCCATCTCCAGTCCAGATCTCCGCCCCCCCCTTTTTGGCTCTTGTGCTCACTGATGGAAACCACAACCCATCGGGACATCCCCTTTGCTTCCCACCTAGGCTTGCTACTAGCCACAGATCTCGCACGTGGCAGTGGTTGCTCTGCTCGGCATCGCCCATCCGTTGCCTTCACCTTTCCCATCTGATACTGCAACCTGTCCTGGCCTGGCCTGGCCTGCTTCCAGTCCCAAGTCTAGCTAGTGGTTGCTGTGGCCTAGTCCTGCCCAGTCTGCTCCCTGGTTCATACAAATTGGTAGATTGATAGCCTAGCCTGGCATGACCCACACTCCAGCCTGCCTCCTGCACGTGCCAATGGGCTAAGGTTTGTTCCAGCCCTGCCCAATCTGCCCCCCTCTGGAACCAAACACATACTTGATGATGGGTGGAGCAGCATTGCCCAGCCTGACCAACACCCAGGCCTGAATCACATGCTCACCAGCAGGAGCCACAGCCCACCAGGGACATTTCCCAGGTTCCTCTGCCAGGACCAATCCCCTACCCAGATCTTACGCATGTCAGCCAGTGCTAGGCCTTTTCTTGGCATAGCCTGCCCCTTCTGTCCCAGCCTTTGTATGAGCTGGTGGATGTTGCGGCCTGGCCCACCCCATGCCCTGTTCTTTGGTGCGCCTGTGGCTGCTGCAATCTAGACCAGCCATGCTGTTCCCAACCCCAATATCCATGAGTGTTAGAGGGTTCCATGGTCATGCCTAGCTCAGCCTGTCTCTACCCCAACTCTTGAGCAAACCGGCGGAAATTGCAGTTCCACGGAGGTGGTCCTACATATTCCCCACAGAATCTGACCCCAGACCTAATCCTCGCGTGCTGGTTAGTGTCATGGCCCAGCCTAACATCACGCATCCCCTGTCTGACTCTAGCAGGTGCTGTGATCTAACCCTGCCAGGTAGCCCCCAGTCCTAACTTTAGTGTGTGCCAGTGGGTGGTGGTCAGCTGTGGTCCATGCTAACTAGCCTGCAGGAGTCCAGCTCCAGCCGAGTTTGGAACTCGAGGAGGGTGCGTGGAATAGGCGTAGAGAAAATAAACGGATCACTATACGATTTCATGAGCATAATAGACACATGCAAGAAAGCTGTCCCATTTATTTAGACAGAAACCCTCACAAGCTCTGGCACAGACTTTTGATGTCATGGTCAAGTGGATGTATCCAAGGATAATTCTGCCATTTGTTTCACCTAAAAACTCAATAGAAATTCCTACTATAATTCTTATTCTAGAACTCAATCTTGTATCACAAAGAAAAAGAAAACCTAAAGATCAAGGAAAGAATGAAAAACCTTAAACACAGATCCCT